TACAAAGGTTCGCCACTTTATGCCGGGGCAAAATATTTTAACTTACTACCACACAGCATCAGAAGTGAAACAAAGTTTCTCAAATTCAAGAAAAAAGCCTAAGACTTTTTGGTAATAAGTTGTTTTTATTCCCTGAAAGAGTATGAAAATAATATTTTTGTTTAACATGTGTTGTTATTGATATAAGTGATATTAAATAAAATATCTTTTGTAAAATGTGACGTGTCATATATACATTCTTGTATCAAAAATGATGAATAAATTTAATTTTTTTTTATTTGATACTTTTTTGCATGATCTATACATTTATGTATAGAGTTACTTCTTTTAAAACTAATTGCTCCCTTCCTTTCTTTGGAAGATTCCCACATTTTTTTATATCAAGGTGGAGTAGTAGAAAGCCAAAAACTTTCTTTTCAAAAAACTAACGAATTCTACTGAAATTGGGATATTATGGCTACTTCAATCGAAAAACTCTTTCATCCTCACCAATTCTTTCCATTATAATTGATATCTATCTCTATAAATACACTCTCAACACTTTTTTCGTGAAAGTATCGTATATTTTTCAATTAAAATAAGATAATCTAAAACTATATTTTTGATGACAATAACTAGAATGAGTCTGATATTTTTATGATTTATACAATTTAAGAGAAGAAATGTAACATATATTGTTATTATCACACACGTCCTAATTTTCCCTATCTATATTATTAACTGAAGGAAGTTCTCCGTAACAATGTTTGGTCCTAGGATCCTTGTAAGAATTTTCATGCTGTACACTTTGAGAATTAGTTCGACACTTTGCCAAACACAGTTCAAAGTGATCACTTACTGAAGCAAATAAGACACTATGTTGTTCTGTTGCTTTGCCAAGAACATTTTCCAAAACTTCTCTCTGCAAAATAAAACAGTGTTTTTATTGAGCAATACCCAATGCACAATTATATATGCATTACAAAAACATTCATTTTTGTTTCATGCAAAATTTAGATAGGATTGTTCTAATGAATTCGCCCAGTTTCCAAGGATTAGGAAAAAAAAGTATCTTCTCTAAAATTTCCCAAATTATTTTAAATTATTATTTTTTGGTGAACAATCATCCTTTAAATTCATTCAACTTTTTTAAGCCTGACAGTACATGTTAATTAACACATTATTTTTATATGGTGGTCCAAAATACCAACCACATGTGAGATTGTACCAAAAAAGCCTAGGGATTTCTTTTCTGAGGTACATATTGTAACTACAGACATTACAATCCCAAGTGATTCTTTCCGTACGACTGTCATAAACTATCAGCCTACAGTTTAATGTTACCTTTGTCTGCTAACAAAGTAGATAGGGAAATTAAAATAATTATATAGATTTGACAGAATAATCGTTTCAAAGCAGACAAAATCCAGAAGTCAGACCCAATTACAGGACAAAATATACAATTTTAGGGTGAAAGTGTTGAATATACAAAATATATACATATCATAATAGTAATGATACATTCATGGAATATTTTAAAGAAAATAAAGGAAAAAATAACAAATTTCAAGTAAGTGTTTGATGATTTATTGATGAATATAAAAAATATACATGTATTGTAACAATAATAACCTTCATTGAAAAAAAATTAATTAAGTGTTTGTTGTTTCGTAAACAGAATAGTTTTTATTTCTTTTTTTGAATATATTCAATGAAATCTAGAGTTTATAAGCTCAAGTGTTCAAGTGTAATAGTGTTTATGTGGGACAATGTGACAGAAATTTCCCAAACCGGTATGCCAAACATGAAAGGTCCTTCAGACTAGGAAAAATGATTCGACATTCTCAAACCATTCCTTGGACTGTAACCACAAATTTTGTACTATGCAGACAAGGGTTGGAAACTCATTCATTTGGAATCCTCGGAAATTCATAAACCTAAACATTGCGGATTCAAACTACTAAATGACCAAATTGACCTAGTCTACTCGCCAGTTGTCAGATTAGCATATCTACATTGTCACACGTGAATAAAATTCAAATAAAGAAGTCATTGAGAGCGGATTGTTATTACCGACAGTGGTGTTATAAGTATATAAGGATGTATAGTCGAAGTAAACGATTTTGTGCACATTTAAAGTTGGTGGCACTCTCAAATGCCAAAAAAACCAAACATAGAAATGAACTGGCTGCGAAATAGTCCACGTGGACTGTAGAATTGGCGGTTCGTGTTGGATAATTTTTACTAACCAAGTTTTATGATTGGCTGGAGAGTCATAAAATTAAATTTGAAGTCATGTTACAGTGACGAATAGAAATAGAGGAATGCGGGGATGGTTATCGCCGTCGTGTCATCAATGTTCAGTTCAGAAACTGGTGGCGATTTGAGTGTTGAGCTTCGATATCGGGGCAGTTATAATTACTTAAAATTTTTGTTGTCTGTTTAAAAGTGGCGCCCTTGGACAAGTACTAATAGTAATATAACAAGTGTGATAACATTGTAGACTTTTTCCAGTGTAGTGATTCCAATAGTGTTGGTAAACATTGCGAAAAAGAGATACCAGTGAATAAGATTCGGATGCATTTGAATATTGAAACACGGAGAGTATGTTTCAATGTATATAAGAATCTACATCTCTAGTTTGGTTTCGAGGAAAACAAACTATTACAAGCAACATCAGATTTCACCGAAATTCCTTTCTCAAGAGTATGTGAAATAGTCAAAAACAAACCTTATGAACACAAGACTCGATGTGATACAGGATTACCAAAACCTTTAGATATTCATCTAATGAAATCATTGAAAAAAACAATATACGACTATTACAAAAACAATGATTTTCCTACTACTGAAATCATAAGGAAGATATTTAATACTTCCAGACATAATGTAAGCTGCTGTGACATAACTCTTCAGAATTGGATAAAGCATGCAATGCTGAGAGCATTGTTTTTATGGATGATATTTGACATTTGTTCACATTCAAACAAATATATTATCAATACTGTAAAGGTTCATAGAATTATAAATGATAATTAGTGTTTGCACTGTTAACTAGCTAGGAATCACACGTTAAAAGGTAAGACCTCGTTAATCTTTAGCTCGCACAAGCTGGTTAACGGAAAAACAGATTTTAAACAGTGTTTTTAAACCATTGATACATACCTTATCCGGATGTAAACAACAGGAAATGCAATATTCGTATATTGCACAACAGTTTGTTGGTTTACAAGTTTCACATGAATATTGAACGACAAGTTGAGAATCATCGTTACAACATCCAGTTTGTAATACTTCATTGCGAGGGCAAATGAATCCTGAAATGAAATTACATCACTTGAAGTGAACAAAGTAAACTGATTTCACATTAAATAAATATTATATTTCTATTCCGGAATTTGTGAAAAATGATTCGGAAACTGAACTGAATTCAAGTTCATATGAGATGCATTTTTCCTTTTGAACATCATCAAGTAGATTATTTAGGTAGAATAGTGTAGAATCCATAATCATTGTTAATTTTTTAAAGGTGGACTGATTGATTTTTCTTATTGAAGATGATTGAATAACATACAATATAAATTGTATAAACTTGGTTGTGTAAGATCTAATGTCAATACAAAATAAATATTTCGAAATAAAATCTCTAAATATTCATCTCTCTTCACCAAACTGTTGATTTGATCTCTGTTAGAACCTGTATTGAGGAGAGATACATACGTACTAGAAAACAAATATTTCAAAATATTCAAGTTATGTTTCAATTTCAATTCAACAGTAAGGAGAGTAAGAACTGACCAGCAAAATGCCCTCAGTTGAATCAAATAGAGTCCGGGTTCCGATGAAACAATAAAAATCTGATTTTCAGTAAACAGTGGTTGAATAATAAAATTATATTTCATGCAGCACACGGGTTAAACCAGTTGAAACTATGAATAGAACATATAAAGCGTGTCAATGAGTCTACTTTAAACTACAGGGTGTTTCAAATCCGATCCTAATCATTGGAATCTCGGAAACTATGGATAGGGAATAATGGGCCAGTAAGGTGGCCAGCAAAGTCTCCAGACCTTGGCAACACTATCATTGCCAAATGCCTGCTTAATTTTTTAGGCTGTTTCGGCGGCGCTTTGGTTTAATTTGAGTTTGTATTGAAAAATTGTCCTAAAATCGACATCCTACAGAAATAAGCTGAAATGAGACAAAAAGTTAAGACCTGAAAAAACTAACAGCATCAATGTATACAGTACAAAAATCTCTATCGAACCGTATATACCACGATACAGTAAAATAAATATTTATTGTCGTATAGAGCTACAAAAATGAGTGATATTAAAACGGACAAAACTTTTTAAACAACCTGATACCCAACATACCAGAACCATATTATGGTTCTGACAACATCATTTAATTTTGTTTCTTTTTGCAGATATTTCAAACAATTATTTATTGATAGATCTCAAAATTATTCATTTTGATTAATTACTTACGAAAACTTTCTTTAATTGTTTCAAGACTTTTAAGTCAATTTCTTGAGAAAATTGCACCGTGTATCTGAGAAATACAGGGTAAGCATAAGTAGTGGAGTGTTAAGTTGCCCGAAACATCAATGAGCGGCAGCTCTATAATGCATTTGGAAACAACTATTTCACCTAAAACTTGATCTAGCCTACAGTAGGTGAAAATTTCATCTCAGATATAGTTTCTTCAACTAATAGTAAGTAAAAAACCTAGCAATCAGAATTATTTAATAAGAAAAAAAACCTCTTTCGTCCACAATCAATACTTTTCCCTGGACTGAATTTCGACAATTTTTTTCCTCTTCATTTGTGGAATTATGTTGCTGTAAGGTCCGCCAAATAAAAGGTTGACTCCTTCGAATAGGTACTATGTCATCATTGTCAAGAAAGTCCCTCTAAAAAAAGGCAAATGAAATTGTTCTTGTTTACCAATGAAAAATTGTAAACAAGTATTTACCTTTCCTAAGTAGCAGAACATACAATAGCAAAATGAAAGTGATAAAATGAGGCCTAAAATAACCCTTCGTCTCAAAAAACGAATGATACCGGAGTACCACATTTTATAGGAATTGAAGGCATTTTATCACTTAATCAAAAACATTAAAAATGATAAACAAATACATTTCGAAGGTTAATTACAATTGACAATTCTTGACTTTTCAGACGTCAACATCTAACAGTTATAGGCAACAGCTGCGTCACATGGATACTGGTCACATGGCGCTTGAAAAATATATAGTCATATATATATGATGGAATCGGCCAATACTTAATGAAAATACATAGCGTATTCATATCAATCCATAATGTCATAAGTACTAGCAGCTACATTTTACATTCAGCTTGTGACTTACCCGATACTAGGTACAAGAATGAGATATGATGAAAATGCAAATTTATTGAAAGTAAATTGAAGTGAGTTAAATTTTCAATGAGACTGAATTTAACCTATAATCTATACACTACAATATATAGAGATATGAACAAGATTACAATCCAAGATATAATCAGGATTAAGAAATACGATATCTGTTTAAAAAAAAATCTGCTTTTCCATTAATCAGCTGTCGCACCCCTACGAACGACAACACTCAGAAGTCGAAACTTGTGCGAGCTAAGGATTAACGATGCCTTACCTTTTAACGTGTGATTCCTATTAGTTGATGATGTTTTCTGCTGCCATATTTCAGCTGACAATATAATAGCGAAATATAATGTTTGTAGGTTGAAAGCAACCTAAAAATAGTTCTTTGAATAGCCAATATATTTGCTCGACCAGTAAACAAGAAAACTTCAAGTCCGAAGCTCCAAGAATCTTAAATGTTTTTAAAAAATATTGTTTTGTTTCTTTACTACTGAAACCTCAAGTACATCAATATATTTAGTCAGGTTTTACTTTTTGGTATTTTTACTATTCTATATAGAAATGATTAGTTTGATATACATTTTTGCCTCATGGCTTCAAAAATATCTAATAGGGTGAATGATGAAACTTACTTCACGACGTTTTGATTATTGGTATCCATGCAATCATCTTCGGGTAATAATTGGACTATTCCTGGCATTTATAAGTCCATAAATAGGAAACCCATGAAGCTAACGTCATAAACTTGAGTTTCCGCGTGCATGGTCACGGATACAGAGGAATCATTGCTTGGAAAAGATCAAAACATAGGTGCCAACACCTATGCCCGCGTTGGAGATAATCAGTGCAGTGTAATCCACCAATTCCCTTATTGATCAGACCGAAGAGAAATAATTCAGATAGGAAATCAGAAAACAGCTGTATCAAGAACCATTCCCAATATTTAACATCAACCATAAAAGCTTTGAACGGCCTACGATGAGATAACACCATTAACATTCTACCTTCAGAAAAGGGGAACGCTATCATATTTACAGATTCCAATCTCTACGAGCAGAAGATCAAAGACGTTCTTCAGAACGAGCAATTCACGAAAATTGCACAGGATCCAACTAGATCGATACAAAAAAGGTATTCTAGACTCTAAATAACACCAACTTTTCTTTTTTGAAAAGAAGATATCATCGCTAACAATACCCAAGAACCACAAGCAGGGCATTCCGCTCAGGTCGATCATCGGTCCAAGATATTCAGCAACTCACACCTTGCCAGATATCTACTTTTAATAATTAAATCACTACAAGAGAAAACCTCATCTTTTGTGAACTTAAGGCATTTTGTCAAGTTATTGGAGGCAGTTGAATTCACAGAACAAAGTCAATTAATCAGAATCGACGTAGAAAGCCTGTAAAGCAACGTTCCTATTGAAGAAGCACTTCAAATCATAGAGATGAAGCTATGCGAAAATGAAGATGCCCACAAGAACCCCCAAATCTGGTTGAAGACACCTTCATAGCATTGAACCTTGGAGACATGGAACCAAACACTTCAACAATTCAAGCTCTTCCATTACATTTACCATGGGGAACGAAATCCACAATGAATTGCCGTTTGCAGACGAAACGGCGGAAACTTATGTGTATGTATGTATACCCACTCATACGTGGCGGTATCTGAATCACAAATTCGACACCGTCAATATATTAGAAGACGAATCGTCAAGAATAGACTGTGTTTAAGTAATTCAGAATGCTCCGGAAACTCATGAGCGAATATATTTGCGTATTTCATAACAAAATCACCCAAATGTGGGTAGTCTTTATATATGGTAATCGAAGTAACTCGAAGCCTCTATCAAAACGACGCACGTCGAGTTGAGCGCGATCTTGGCCACGTCACAATCAATTTAGGACATCAGTGGCGACCGGCGTCATTTTTTTATGGGATTATTTACAATAATATATTTTTCCTTACCTATATTGAAATCATTGAGGGGCCAGTGAATTTCTTCAGGAGGAATTGAAAATATTCGGGTATCCAAAATACGTTCGACAATTCAATCATCACTCCCGTAATTTTTATTATTTTTATTTGATATATTCAACTGTATATCTACAATCTATAAGGAAGTTTGGACCATGCAGGGATTAATTTGGAAAGTAGCTATAATATATGCTCTACTTATTTTCTTGTAATACGCAAGATTACTAGTTATATATGATCCTCTTCGGACCGATTACCTACTGGCGTTAAACTACCACACTTACGAAAAACGGATTCTTTCGCAATGAAAACGTTTTAAAAAGTTCATCAAATTCTCTAATAATAATTCTGAAATACAAATCATGAAATTACAAAACAACAACAAAAATTAATTGGCGCTCCGGGGCGACTTCATTGATTCCAGTGGCGCATTTGCTTTTTCAGGTGCAGGAAAACCCGGAAAAATTTGTAGCACCACATCATCTGAAGATCTTGACCTGCCAATGTCCTCTGTCTCATAAAACAAAATGTAGGGTGTCTCCAAAGGCTCAATACATCGCCAGAACACTTAGAGACACCACTATCGTCAAATTTAGGTAAACCAATCTGTTTCGTCTTTGACCAAGGCGTAATAATGACCAGAATCAACGCCAGAACCACTGAACAGTGACTGCATGAAGATTATAATAGTGGTCTGCTAGATTGAAGTGTTCATCTATTTCGAACCTTCGTTTGATGGTTCCGTCAGAGGTTGAGTCATGTTTGAAGATCATCAGTGTTATTATTAGAGTGACTGGTGCCTCAGATATACTTGTTTTCTCATAATAGTCAGTTAGTTTGGCGCATGTTTGGCAATACAATCGATCATCACCTGTTAAAAGTTCCATTTTCAGATGATTTAACAATAAACTTTGCAGGGACTGGTTTATTAGTCATATTAGGAAACGCTAGTTGAAGTTCCAGAAATTCACATGTGTTTTCGCTTCCTCTTGAACATTTACTACAAAGGAAACAAGTGAGTATTTTTCCAGCAAAAGATTTACAAACACAAGTCGAGATAGTCTATAAGGAACCATTCAATCCAGAGCGGTCAGGAGTATCGATTCTGCTATTGTTTTGCTCACGAAGAGTATTCAACAAGAACCCCAAAAATTTGGAACGATCCGCTTGTTGTCCTAACGGGTATCTAGTGAACTTCAAAGACTCCAGGAAATCGGTTGGAGGAAAAAATGATACATTCTTACGAAACTGCACCTGCATGAACAGTTGTTTGAGTTTGGTGAATAAGTAGTAAACATTATCGTTCTCGTTCATCATTAAAACCTCGTTCTTGAAATTCTTCGTCGTGAACAACACTTGTGAAATGCTATTCATGTAGCAAGTGTTTCCTGAATTATCTAATCCAATTTTATTATCAAGATTTTCAGGACAAGTCTCTACTGATTCGTAAAGAAGAACATGTTTCACAGAATCTGCATAAGAACCATTTCTCAAGCTGCAGTCGATCCTTCCAAATGATGAAGGGTTTCGTAGAGGGATCGATTCGGTTCTTGCTTCATAAAGATCTTCCACTGATTTTCAGTTCCAATATCAGTGATAATGACAAAATCGCACCATCTGCGATTTGTTACTCTCGATTGATCTTAGATTTGATAATAGTAATCACTGGTTACTTCAAGCAGTTTAAATGCTACATTGGAATTGTTATTTCTTATATTTCTGCGGCATCTGGAGATATTGATATTGATATATTGATATTGATATATTGAAGTACAGTTTATATATTTACATGTAACATATCGTGTTTTTCAAAAGTCTCAGATCCAGTAACTTGGCCTAGATATGTTTATCTGTTCTGCCATGTACTAGATCTATAGACTTTCTAAAAAAGTGTACATTTTATGATTATAACTAAGCAGTGAGTAGAGAAAAAATTTAGTAGAAAAATTAACATGATAGATTCAGAATTTTTTTCTTTTTTTAAAAAAATAACAAATAATTATATAATATAAGATGCAAATGGTGAGAATTCCAAACCGTTTCAAGCAGGGTCAGTTACAGAGGAGAGCAGATAGTTTTTAAAGGTAAGGTTCATCTTAAATTATTATTCATTATATTATAAAATTTGTTTGAGAATTGTAGAATATGTTTCTTTGTTTCTTTTTTGAATTGTTCTAGTTTTCGAATACATTTCAATTCAATCGGAATGCAGTTGAAGAATTTAGGGCCGAAGAAAAAGAAAGATCTTTGCGTTAAAGATTTTCTGAAAAGTTGTATACTGAGATTCAAATTACTAGTGGATCTGGTTATTCCAGTTTTTCTCTGATTAGATGTTTCGTGTTTTATATTCAAGACCTGTGATTCTTGGTATATCATGTCAGTGAAATAGCGTTTATTTTTTTCAGAATAATTCTTAGAAGAATATTTTGTGTTTTTTGTAGAGAATCAAGTGTAGTATTGAAGGCCCCACCCCATGCTGTAATACAGTAGGTCATTACAGATTCAGCTAGGGAATTGTAAAGTAAAAGGAGATTTCTTCTGGTAAGTACGTCTCTCAGGATATAAAAACTATGCATCAAGACTCTTAACGGTTATTAACATTTGTGATGTGATCTGACCAGCGCGTGCATTGATCTAAGACTACTCCTAAATATTTGATTTTTTCCCCTTTTTTTACTATGGAACCGTAGTATATTGAAATTCTAGGTGAATACGTAACTCAGAAGTGGTACATTAAAGGTACATCTTATATTTTTTTATTCCATGTAGGCTTTCGAAGATTTTATTTTGCTTTTTTC